GCTCAATATTTTAAAGCGAAAATTTTATGGTAAATAGAATTCATTAAGATGTATGGCATTAAAAAATTTCAGCTTATTTGGTTAAGCCATTCGTGATATATCGTTGCATTAGGACCCCCATTTATATATAGGGTCATTTTTAGGCGTTTTCGTAAAATGCTGATAAAAAACCGAGGGATCAATATTTTTTGAATCGGCTTGCGTCAAAAATCATAAAACTCTTCCCTCTATAACATATCTTAAATTGAGAAAAATCTAACGACATCGATTGAGCAGGGTCTCTATGAAGTCGGTCGTGGCTTATACGGACTGGCTCATATATAAAATCTGACAGCGTAAAATAGAAGTTATTACTATTAGAAATCTCATGAGTTATATAAATTTCACATTGTATATCTTTATGAACTGAAGTAATAGGTTGTTTCTCTGAAGAACTGATTGCTTACGTGATATATCAAGCTCAGTGGTTTTTCGCCGGTTAAGTTAAGAGTTTTAACCGACGGTTTCCGTCGAAATTAGAGGAGAGCTAGATATGGAAAGCACCTGGTAGACTGAAATAACTACCAAAAATAAACCAGATCCGTCAAGATCTGAGTAGTGAAAATATGTGATTTACGGAACTCCAAGCCTAAAAATCCTACTGAACCACAGCTATATAGTGAAAACATCTGATTGGATGGCACGTAAATAACAAAGTTCCATGATTGGCAGAATTACCAAATATGAGAAAATCTCATTTCAAATAGTTGCTCAAGATCTGCACAAATATACTTGTACACGTGACGTTACATGTGACATGCAAACACACAAGAAAGCAAATACATTTTATTTCATATTATCCTGCCCTCGGTCGAGGGAACAGTAATACAGAAATATAGAAAATAAAAAAGTATTGTTTTGGTAGAAATATGATGTTAATTTCACACTAAAGGATAACTTCCAATGTCTGCAATACCACATTGGTTGTGCTTATTACGACTCATCCAAATATAACCTTTATCACCCCATGTTTCACCCCAAGAATTTTTTGCAATATAATAATCTTTTTTGACTGTACTATTTTTAAATGTATCATAGCCAACAAGAATGAATGAATGATCAATATTTGTTGACGAACAGTGAGGTTCATCATAAACACCCGATGAATAAAATTGAAACGAACTTTGTGAAGCATCAACTGCTACTGATATTGGACCAACAGTTGCAATTGCTATTTGTAAAGCCGTTTCATTTCCTTTAGGAAGATCAACGAAACCCTATAATTCGCAAATGAATGAATAAAAACGGTATGAGAGAAAAAAAATACTGACTGTATCTGTTGCTCCGACCGTCTTTGGATTAAAGCGACATTTGTCATCTTTTGCTTCATACGGATAACTTGCTTCTGTATCTATTCCCTTATTAGCTGCAATGTATTGAAATGAAGCATCCATCCAACCTCCATTGCAACCTTGATTACCATAATCACCAGAACAATCCATTAGATTTTGCGCTGACAATCTTACTAAATGTCCTGTCTTTATGAAATGTTGTCCTTCTAGAGCACCTGTTGCTGTAAAAGCCCAACACGAACCACATTGACCTTGATTTTCGATGACTTTAGTTACAGCACCCTTCTTTCGCCAATCTATTAAGCAGAATATATTGGATAATTCAAAAAATTGTCTCACGGTAAAAATCTATCCGACTGATAATTTTCATTTGAGCTAATATTTGGCTCATAAGTAGGACTCATAATATAGATAAAAATCGTGAAAAGGTTCATGCTTTTAGGTCTTTCTTCTCAAGTTATAGTCATTTTACTGAATTGTCAGACTATTGCGAGATATCACAAGAAGAATCTCAACAAGGAGTTTCGACCTGAAATTTTCCTCAACAATAGCACTCATAGCCCGTATTATGTCCGAAAAGTTTTAGCTCAAACAGATGATTTCTTCTGAAGATATCGTATGTCTAAGAGCTGGGCTTCTTTTGAAGCTCATGTATGAACGTAACGTTTTTTGCAAGCGTGTTATTTTAGAAGAGAAACATCCATTTGAGCAACAACTTTCAGAATATCATAATAACCATGAGAACTATTGTTGGGAAGAGTCTCAGATCGAAACTCCTTATTTCGATTTTTTTCGTGCTCTTCTGATAATAGAAATGAACTTTTCTTATTCGAGAAAATTTTCGATCAATTCATAGGCACATAACCATTTGAAAGTTGATGATAGCTCTTTCTTTTTCAGTTAAAAGGTCATCCCTCCAAGAATATTGATATTGAAAATATTTACCAACAGCTGCAGGTATATATATGTTGGATGGATGGTGAAATGGGTGTTCATTGGATTTTTTCACAGAATCTGTTGTCGAAGGCATTTTGACACCGTTTAACATTGTTCGAACAAATTCTTCATGTGTCTAAAATGAAAAAAAATATCGAATATGAAACTAAGGATTATAGAATTTATTTATTCACCATGTCAGCAAATTGATTAATTTTCAGTGTATACGAATGCAGACCCATATCAGCTTCAAGATTATGTCGATCGATCATAGCTACATTATCTTTAAATGCAACAAAACTAAATAAACAAAGAATCTATTCAATAGACAAATTCAGTATTGATTTTAGTTTTTGTCTTACCGATATTGTTCCTCTCGAAGATTAGTATATTGTTTTTTATGAACACGTTTGAATAAATCCCAAAGTGCTTTTTGTTGATTTTCATTCGTTGCTTGTGAGGCAGTTAAGATACAAATGAAAAAGATAAGTAAATGCATGTTGATAAAGGCAGTCAGGACAATTTAAGCTTGCAAATGTTTTGCTATTCTTTATATATATGAGATAAAAAATATGCAGCGTCAGAGTTTATTTTTTTACTTTTATCATGATAAATTTTGAATATTCAAGTTCTTCTAACTTCGTAATTCTGTATTCAAAAAAGATTATGCGAACTAACTGTCACTGTTATTGCATCATGGCCTAGACAATATATCGAATGTTGAAATGAGAATATTAGAAAATTTTTAAAATATAGATTAACTACCGGTCATCACTTGATAGAACTGAATATTCTCAAGTATTACAAAGTGTATAATTCTTTACTATTTCTCATAGGTCAAACAGACCCAGTAGACTGCTATATAAATTTGCTAATATGTGTTTATCAGAACTATCGAAAAGAAAATTGTGCATAAACACATTTGGTTACCTTATATCACTTGTAATATACGTAGCAAAACAAAAAGGTCAAAATGTATTTTTAGCTGTTAAATATTCGTTTACTTAGAGCTAATGAATCAAGACCTTATCACATTACAATGTTTATAATGTTTCACTCTCTCTTTCATACAAGAAATATCTTAATCAATCTAGCAGATTTGTCTTATTATTATGAAAGAAAAAACATGTTTTCTCTTGTTTGTTTTCATTCTATTCATGTGATAACTAGAACCAAGAAATTATGTAATTATACAGAAAAGATCCAAATGGATAGGACTGTGATACAGAGTTGTAACCGGCTCGGTGGAGGCTGTTCAACCGGCCGGATTTTACCGGTTTTTGCCGGTTGCAGATTGTTGACAAAATTTTTTAATTTTTCATGTGGAGGACATTGCATCTCTCTTCTTCATATTTTTTTAAAGAAAAAAGACTACAATTTTTTTAAAATGTAAAATATTTTTAAATTTTTCTTCTGAATTTGTTTTCAAATAAAAAGTAAAACTATTTACTGTTTAAAAAAAAACAAACGAACTGTCACATATGACGAGCTTATATGCTTTTAGCTTTTCTTTTGACATTAATCTAATTGTTTGTTTTGACATGGTGTTACATAAGTGTAATTGAATTAAGAAGAGAAAAGAAAACTATATATGCTTGTACGAATAGAACTATATGTCGAATAAATTTCAACAAATACACTCACCACTATCGTTGTACTAATGCCGAATAATAAAATCTATAAGCCACATTAAACATATTTATAATTATTAATTCTTGTTATTAACCGACTGTGATTGAACATTTGATCTACATCTGCATTCTGATCGTATTTTAATAAGTTCAAATTCAAGAGAACTATATAAAATAAAATAATTCTTTATTTCCATCTTTATTATGAATATGGATGATCTTACGGGACAAGAAATTCAATACAAATTAAAATCCAAAGCTTTTGAATTAGTTAAAAACGAAAAAGGTAACAATGTAATATGGAAAAGCGATGCGTCTTTAATTGAGAAAACGAATGAATATGATGCAACTCATTTACTGGAAGGATGGGCAGCATGTAATCATTGTTATATGGCTTATAGAACACATTCTAAAAAGAATGCTGATGGTAAGCGAAAAAATGTTGGATTAAATGGTATACATGATCATTTAAAAAATCGTAAATGGAAACCAAAAATGAATTCAACTAATAATCAAGGAGAAAAGGTTCAAACAACAACATCTGTTGTTCAACCCAAATTCGCTTTCCACAAAAATACATTATCAGAAAAATATAAATTAAAACTTAAATGCGCTGAGCTAAAATTTATTGTTGCTGGTTGACATTCATTTTAAATCATTAGAAAATAATGGTATTTTGAAATTGGGTCAAACTGGTATTGAAATCGGAGCTAATATTGGTTTAGTAGATGTCCATGATATTTTTTATGGACGACAAACGATTCGTGAAGAAGCATTATCGAAGTTTCACCAATATACTGATCAAGTATGTTCTTTGTTAGAAGAACCAATTAAGCAACATTGTATAGCAGCTATACGGCTGACCTTTGGACTGAAGATTTAATGAAGAGAACTTACTTGGATTTTGAAATCTTCTTTGTCAATGATATTTACAAATTAAATCATACATTATTGCGATGCAAACATTTTGAAGAAGAAAAATCTGGCATTAATATTTGGTATGAAATTGAAGAAATCTTCAAATCATTTAATTTACCATTTGGCGATACACCTGTTACTACTGATCAAGGATCAAATGTGATTAAAGCTCTAAGTCTAACTGATGAAGCACGATATTCTTGTTTAGCACACCGAATGGATACTATTTTAGAAATAGCATGGGAAAATTTGAAAATAATCAATGTTGAATTTAAAGATTTCTGTACTGTAGTTGGGAATCTTCGAATTTATTGTGAACAAAGTGGCGGAATTCAATTCAAATTACCTAAAACATTGAAACGTACGATTGGGACTCGTCCATAGCATTTCATATTTTCTTATTCATGACAGTTTATATCAATCATACGATACATGACTGGCTTTATTACGTCAGCGAGATGAACAGCATCGACTTGTACATATTAATCCACAATTATTATCTGAAATCAATAAGTTTATGGAAAAATTTAGTTTGATTTTTGATAATTTAGAATTTTCAAATCGACCTACTTTGCCGAATGTTATTCCAAACTAGTATTTGATGCTTGAATATTGTATCATAGATGATAAACGAAAAAATTCAATTGTCAATTTATTAAAAGCTGAAATTGCTAAAGGACTTGTTGACAAATATTGGACATCAACAACACAATTGCATTGGATCGCAACCTATCTAGATCCAACATTCAAAGATTTATTGTTTGTTACAGATCCATTATTTTTAGAGGAACAGAAGAAATCAATCGAAGAAGGTAGTCATATTTTGGCTAATGATTATTAGAATGCTATTTTATCAACAGCAACATCATTATCATCAAATGAAACTAATTCACCACCAATAAAAAAAAGAAAGAAGATCCTTTTGCAACAATGCGTAGTGGAAGAACAACAGCTGCTTCGATTAAAGTTTCGGCGAATTCATTTACGAAAGATATTCAACGACAAATTCAAATTTATGAGAATGCATCGTATAACTTATCTCAAGACAATAATCCATTATTATTTTGGCGTGAACAACAACAAACTTTGCCGATTTTATCCAACATTGCAAAATCTGTGTTTGCTATACAAGCGTCCTCAGAAGAATCTGAGCGACATTTCTCGACGGCGGGACAAATTGTTACAGAAGAAAGGTCCCAACTGGATCCTGAATGTGTAGAATCACTGGTTGTATTAAAAGAAGCATATTTGAACAAGATATGGCCTACGTCAAAATAATAATACTTTTTTTCAATTGGCTTCATATGATTAAAATTAAATATGTAATAATATATATTTTTTGTTTTTTTGCCATTCATGCACTTGATTGTTTGTTTTCGTATATATATATATGTTGTTCACGAAAATTTTGAATCATAACAATGAAAGAAATAAAAATTACAGATTGAGTTCTGTGGAAAGACATCATTATTCGCATAGAACGAACTCAATGTTGAGAACCTTTGTTTGAATTTTCACATCAAGAATCTTCTTCATTTCCAACTAGCTTAGTCTCCTGATATTGAAACTATATGTACCAAACTATGTCATCTTAGCAACACATAACAAAGATTCCGTATACGTACTCACTTTAACCAAGATAAAAATTTTATTTGCTGAAAAAAAATCATGAAATCGCAGGTTTTTACCGGTCTAGAAATATTTTTTAGATCGGTCAGTCACCAGCCGAACTGGACCGGTCTAATTTTTCTTGACCGGTTACAACTCTGGTGACAATGCAAGTGGCTTAAATAGATAGTGAATGCAAGTATCACATTTTGCTGTTAGCAATCCTTTGATGATTGCATAGGTATTGAATAACGGCGATGAGAAGAAGAAAATAGAAATGATAAAAATTGACGCCATGTTGTCTTCTCCTTCCTTTGTGTTGATAGATGGTAAACTCTTGTAAACCAAGTATAAATGATACTTAAAAACGCAAGCTGAACTTTCATTGTTTCACTGTATTCACTCCGTAAAGCATCATAAATCGATTATAAATAAGTCTCTTTTGTATGAAAGACTTGTCAAAAGTTGATGATAGCAATCAGAAATCGTACTCAATTACATTTAATTTGAATAATTAAATAAATGACTCTGTTTTCTACTTATTAAAATGAAAAATTATTGTTATGTTTTGTGTGCCTGACATATAAGTAACTTACAATGTTTTATTTTTTAATGTTTTAAAGGTAACTTGCTCGGACTGTAATCTGTTATTCAGTTAACTATAGGTTATTCGATATACAAACTGAAATTAAATACTTTTTTCTGAAAAGATCGATAATGAAAACAATCAGAAAGTTACTAAGAATAAAACTTTCAAATTCGAATAGAGTTTTGAGAGTCAATAAATCTTCTTAGATTTTAATTTGGTTTTAATACTATTGATAATTGCATTTATTTTTGCAAAAATAATTCATATAAAGACAGTACACATGTTGCTGTTGTAAAGATATTTATTCATAAGTAACTTCAGTATATAAAAACTGATAATTATTGAAGAATCAATTTCAGAAAGAGTCGAGAAGCATATGATACATGAACCAAAATATATATTAGTTTTGAAAAACATCGAGTTTCTGATTTTATATAATTATTTATTTTTCGACTCTCTTCTTCTAAAAATTCTTAGCGAGTATAATAATGGCTCAATAATATGTACATAAAAGAAAGGCTTGTTTATCATAAAATTTAAATACTATAGTTATGGAAAAATGAACACATAAATTTATAGATTAGTTGATTCGGCTGAAGACACTGTTGGTGTTGTGGACGTTTGCTTTTTAAATTCTTTGCCATTACTATATTCTTGTAATCCTGCACGAACAGCAGCTTGAGCATTTAATTTAGCTTTATAATTGTCTGTAAGTGGATTTATAGGTTCCGAAGCAATTTCACCACTAAACAAATAAACATTAATATATTCATTTTCTTGCTGATGTTTAATTTTTTTGTAAGATTTTACTGATATAAAGTAAGAATGATATCAACGGAGATCAAACTTATAAGTTTTCTCAGTGCATTTAATTTTTAACGAAAAATATTTGAGTTTGATAGTTCGAAACTTACATAATATCAATAACCCAATCTCGGAAGAATGGAAGAAGTTGATCATCCATAGCTGGTAAGACAACCATCCTCTAAAAATTCAACGAAAAGGAATATAAAAAATTCAAGAAACAGCTTCCAAACTTTAATTTCAGCTCGTATTTTAGCTGCCAAAACGTCTTCAAGTAATGTATAAGAATAGTCTTTTTCTCCATAAGTAGGTGTTGCTTTTATATTAAGAACAGGCACTTCAGAAAAGCCAACCCTATACGAAAAAAGAAGAACACATCGAATGACTATATGTAAAAATGAAAATTATATATATATATTTACCAAATTCGATCACTTGGTGGTGGAGGAATGTTGAGCTAAAAATGATAATATCAATAGCGAACATGTAATCAATCGGAATGAAGTTTTTATGTTAAGTAATACACATAAATCGATGAGATCTATGTTTAAGAACAACATATTAAATGGAGTCTAATTGAACAAATAATATGAAGTAACTAAAATACGATCTCCTTTCTTTGAATTCATTGAGCTCAAAAAACAATTTTCTGGTCAAAAACAACAAAATTGTCTATCCTCTGTCTATCAATGGGATTCTGTGTGCTGTGAGTTCAAAAGATTGGCCATGATAAGCAGCTTAAGTTATAATTGTCATTGCCAATTAACCCATTTTAGTTATAATTTGTCCATGGTGAATCACAATTGAGATACTAAATTTTTTAAGCTATTTACATCTATTTTTGTATGCAAACCTCAGATTTTTCAGTAAAGAAGTTTTTTCGAATCATAATGAAATTTGTCGAGTACATTAGAGCTTAGTAATTTTCATGGCTTGATAAATGGTGATAACCGATCCTTTTTCAAATTTCATACAACTAAAATTTCAGAATAAATTGAATCTATTACAAACGTAATGTAATCAATAAATTTCAGCATGATCCTAAAAACTCATTTTCTGATAATTCGAATGATAGTATACAAATATGGAGACAGATAGCTTTCGCATAATGATATTTCTAATATCATAATTGAATATCTTAAAAGTTTAATATCTCAATCAAGATTAACCATGGACAAACCATATTGTGAATACGTTAGTTTAGCAATTACAATGATAACTTTAGCCGAACTTACGAGGAAACTTCTTCAGTTGCCTTCTTCCGATTTTAATGATTCTTTTACCTATAGATACTACATACTATTCTAATAAAAACTCTAAAAGAATTTGAGTTTCTATTGATATTTGATTAAACTATCGAATTTGTAATATGTCTATTTTCTAGAGGTCCCAGGTTTTCGGAAAATTCGTATCTTCAAATTTTGATATTCGAAACTTTGTAGATGTAGAGAACTCAACTAGACTTACTTCCATAAAAAAGTCATAGGTCTTGAGCAATGTTTCTTCGAGTTATGAAGCTTAAAAAAAACCATGCTGTATACACTATCCATATAAAAAGGTCTATATCTTGTAAGTCTCACATCTCGCAGAGACTTTGTTCAAAACTTCTGAATTTTTTCATCTAATGGAATATCAATTTAACCATTCTATATCCTATTGAATGATATATTAAGGAATAAACTTACTGTGAGAACACCACTGAAACTAGTTATTTCAATATTAGCACCAACTTCTTCTTCAGAAAACTTTTCGAATAATTTCTTAACGAATGGAATATTAGCGAACATTTGAAAATATTTGTTCAATGCTAAATTCATTAATGCAAGACCAAGTTTTCGTGTTACTGCCCTAAAAAGAGAAAAACGAGTTCTTTTTATTTTATTAAAAATATGAACGATCTACTTACATTTCAGGTATTTCAGGTTCTTTAGCTAAAAGTTTTTGTCTTTGAATTAAATCATCTTCATCAATACGTTCATCATCTTTATGTACAAGTTGGGCTGTATGATATTGAGCAAATATTGGTTTATCTTTTTTTGGATTATAATTAATTAATCTTTGAAGTAAAACACGTGTCTTTACTGACAATCTAAATAAAATATTTATTTAAATAAATGAAATTTTTGATTATGAAAATTATTTACTTAATACTTCCACGATAATAAAGAAATAAATTAAGCCAAAGTCCTTGAGTATTCCATTGCATTGGTTCAACTTTTAATATAAGAGGAAATGTATTTCCTAAATCAATTGATACAACACGAAGATTTTCAAGAATAGATACCTTTTACATACATATAGATTAATTTAAAAATCAAAAGACATTTCTATTTTTTTCCTTAGTACTTACAGCAATTTCTTTTAATTTCATTTCGATTTTAGTTTTAATTAAATCTTTAAAAACTGGACTATCGAACATTTCACGTAATAATCTTCGAGCCATACAATTAACTGTTATTGCTGTTTCATCTAAACATTCAGGTGATTGAAGAACTTTTCGTAAACAAGCTTCATTTGGTGTCATTTTCTTAGATTTTTTTGCTCGTGTTCGATGAGTTCCACTTGCATCCATTTCATCATTGTCTGATTCTACTATCTAAATATAATTATTCAATAATTATTTAGCAAATATAAATCATATATAAAAAAATAATAAATTTTATCTATTCTAAGATGAGAACATAGCTTTAAAAATTTACGAATTGAGAAATTAATATCGTTTCGTTAAAAGAACTCGAGTAATTCAGACCATCTCTCCTAAAAAAATGTCAATTTTCGTCAAAAGTATGAAAATCGATATAAATGCGTGTGAAGATAGTCCGAAGTCTCATCTTTCATAAATGACATGAGTTTTTATTTGGCATCTAGTTTTGTCCAAAAATGTTCGTCATTTTCTGCTTGAAAATTTTTTTTTTCAAATAAAATGGAAAATCTGTTTCGCTTTATTCTCTGTTTATTTGTTTTTGATCGCACATCTTTTTATTCTAAAAGGAGCTTCATGGTAGTCAATGACTTTCCTTTTTTGTTTGAAAGAGTAGGCCAATATGTATGACATAACAGAGGCCGTGTTTTAAACTAAGCTTTTTTACTATTATATAAAAGAGTACCTTCATAATTGGAGCGCTAGTTTTTGATACATGGAACTTTTTCGCTCCTTAAACAGTAAGAATTGAGAAAATGGCTCTCTCATGCCCTGTATCCTAACATGCTTTTTCAAACAAATATAAAATTAAGTATATAGAATGAAGTTCCACAGACTATTTTGGGCTGCCAAATGGAACGAAAATTTATAAACATTTTTATGAAAGACAATATAACTTTTTCCTTATCTTGTATCAAATATTAACAAAATATTTAGTGAACATACGTTAGCTTTTTCTTGTAATTCTTCAATATTCATTTGTGTTTCAACTAAACCTGCATCTATATCGATTTTTTTAACTGAATTTGATACAAGTTCAATATCTGAATCAGTTTGAGCTAGACGACGATATGATGATGAATTAGAGACAGAGGATGAAAGAGAAGTATTGTCTTCTGCAATAAGACTATTAGTTCGTTCAATTTCTTCTTTTCCATAACGTAAAATTAAAGATAATCTAAATAGACATAAGAAGAAAAAAACTAAAATAAATATTTATCTGATATAAATTTACTTATGAAACCATTCTTCTTTTTGTGGACCAGTTTCAAACCAAATAGAAAGAGTTGTTGCTGGATTAGTAAAAAAATCATTTGCATCAAGTTTAGATTTTTCTAATAGTTGTATATTATAAATTTGTTTATCAAGTATTTGTAAATGTTGTATAACAATTGGATAATCATTCATCCAATATTTAGCACGTGTTAATGTTGCTTCAGGTACAACAGTCATTCGAGCTTCTAAAAGATCACAAAAGGTAATCAATTGAAAAACACAGAAACAAGTAAACCCATTTTCATACCTTTGATTAAATATTCTCGATAACCAATAAATTTCACTTCTTTATCAGGCTTTTTGTCTTCATTCCAAGGTTTACTTGCAAGTTGAATTATAAGACGATATCCATCAAGACGAATATCACATGGATAACGAACAAAATCATCGTCATTATCAGCTTCATAACGTTGAAATGCAATTGAAGCACCCGTTACCTTAAATTATCACAATGACATGTTCATTTAACACAATAAAGAAAAACGATATTGTGTTGTTCAATGATGCTGACTTTAATTAATAAAAGCTATTTGTGCAATCCCTACGGAGTTAAAATCTGTTAGACGATTTAGCTGCTGTTGCTAATCACAGGGACATTGTTTTATTCTACCTATCTCGGGACACATTTCTTTGCCAATCCTTTTACTCAGATTTACAACACTTGGTCACTATGACAATTAGTTGCACTGCTATAAAATAATATCGGAAAAAACTTCCTCTTAGTATTATGAAGAAATAACTCAGAGAGATTCTGAAAATAACTAACAATCTATCAGTGAAATCATCTAAGAATCCATTTAATGAGATAAATTTTCATTTTGCATATACGAATAGAACTGGTTGGCTTGGTTTCGGGTCCGATTGATTCTAGTCATCTAAGACATGTAAAGAATGCATTAGCCACCAAATACAAAAAATTGGAAAAAAATATCTCATACCTTTGGAGCGACTATCAAATTTTGATTAAAATGCTTTCATTGAGAATCATAGCACGGTTCGGTACCGGATCCAAAAATTTCGAACCCGACGGCCTCAACATGCCGCCCTTATCCTTGCACGGAGCCGTATGTGACTGAATCACATGTCTGTAAATCGAAGTTTGTGGAAAGTGAAATAGAAACCATGCTTCTGTCAAACATGTGACCAATTGACATTGTCCTATTGTCACTTTCTCCTTTTGCTTAATCCTCCAGAGATGCAAATAAGGAAATAGTTCATATATTATAACGAGACATTATTGATATATGGTCCGTGATCGTATAGCAACAACGTTTATCACAGTCTGTGATGAATTGGGTTCATATGTCTACCTGTATAGTTCAACATCCCTTTTAGATTATATTTCACAAGAAATAAAACAATTCTTAGAAACTTAAATAAATTTTCAATACATAAAAGGGAAAAGAATTGAACTAACTTTTATATTAGTATCTTTATCTTCTTTGTCATATTTTGCAAATAATGATTCAAGAGCAGGAAAATCGATCCGTTCTTCAATAGCATTTTCGTTTATTTTTTTATTGATAAAAATTCGAATCCATATATGAAATAATGTTGCAGCAAATAGAACACCAACGATCAAACCAGAAAAATATGGGGATATTGGTTTCCATAATGCAAATATCAAAGACATGACTCCAACAATCATCTATGTTAAAAATTACATCATCATATTTAATATAATTAGTATAATTATGATACTCACTGCACTGGTAAAAATGGTATCACTACGTATAGGTAACTTTTCTAATGGAATTTCCTTAACATTTAATCGAAATTTAGGTCCAGATAATAATATAGCAGCTCTTCGTGTACGATCTTTAGGTACGGTAACTACAGTAAGTTTTGCAGTCATTTCAACAGGATCGACTTTCATAATAACACGTTCTTCTACAGAATCATTTTTCTCATTGGATATTTCCTGATTTAAAAATATATCATCGTTGCTTTTGAATTCTTGTTTCAAATTTGAAGATGCTATCACTGGTTGAACAGAAGAAACTGAAGAATTAACTAAAGATGCTGAACTTGATATTGAAGTGGTAGATGAATTTGATGGATTAATAACACTTGGCTTGATACCACCAAAACCCATGTTCAGTGCTAATTGATCAATTGAATAACGATGTGTTTCTAGATATGGCATACCACTTGATGAACCAACAGATGTTGATAGTGCAAAAGAATCTAAGGATTCAGTATCGGCTACTAAAATAATAAAATCAAGATAATTATAAAATATCGATTAAACATGAAAATGAAAAACATTTTACTAGGAAAACTTCGGCATCATTCAACAACAATTTATACTATGTCATCTTTGTGAAATGAAAAAAAAATATAAAGAAGTTAATGTACAAATCATTTCTAATTCTTGAATGTTAGTTGATTTTATTTTAATTGTTAGTTTAGATTTAATCTTTATAATGCATTATGAAAAACAACATTTAATATTAATCTTATAAAAATAAACAAATATTTTGTAAGCTTGAAAACTTTCCTGGTATTCTTGTTACACTCAAAATGAAATTATTCAATTTGACATTAGCTTATCTTTATTTTAATTATGCAAGACATATTCAACATTCGTATATGAGATTCATTTAAAAGATAAACATTTTCAATTCAGAGATCTAAGTTCACTAACAACAAAAAATAGATGATGTATTTTTTCTTTCTTTACGTGATTTTCAAATTGAAAGAATTCATTTTCAAAATAAGAGGCATAAAAAAAGACCTTGAAAATTTCTATTAAATATACGCAATACATAAATTTGCTACAGTCTGTTCACCCTTGAAACATACAAATCTAATTAGCATAATTAAGTCAATTTCAACTAATTGAGAACTGTTGACATATATTGAGAATTATCTGTTTTCATTAAATATGATGTGTAATTAATTGATTTGGTTGGTTTTTAGTCTGTATAACTCACAAAAAATGTTGTGTTATTTTAAAAGAACGTTTTCTTTACTGAAGTTCACCGAGTACAAAGTAAGTACATATGAGTTCAGAGCTAATGCTTACCATAACCTTTCGATGTTTGTCGTGTTTTGATTGTTGCCGAAGGTATATCATCTTGTAAATTAAAAGTAACATTATTAAAACTTGCTGAATTATCAGAAGACATTGAACTATGACGACTTGATGATATTGAATGAGTTCGTTCTTTAACAATATCCGTTATATCTTCTTTAATTGCTGATTTATGTTGTTGATGATGATCGCTACTATTCATCTTTATTTCGTAGCTACAGCTGATAGTTTTAGTAAAAAGGTCGACAATAAAAGGTAAATAGTTTTTATACTTTTTATGTATATTGTGTTTCTGTAATAGATTTCTCTTGAGTGGGAGAGCAGCAAAAATGACGAGTAGAACGAAAGAAGAGAATTATATTTCTCGGCAAGTAAAATCAGTTAGGAACGAACCAACATGCAACAGAAAGAAAGAAGAAAAAAACATATTGACACTGTTAGAATGGGAGCAATGAGTAGAAGAATGAATAAGAGAATTAAAACATATAGCTATTTGATACAAGTAACGGTCAATACAATCACGCAAGAGAAAAAATTACAAAGACACGATCAACGAGTATATAACGGATATGTGTTGTAACACGCTGATCGTTATATAAGAATTAGTCTACTGACTGATGCGAATGGATCATTACATTATTTCTAAAATGAATTCACTTATGCACTTGTGTATTTAATTTTTTAATCTGGGGGACATAAAAAAATAATTATATACAAAAATTAGGCATAGCTTACAATATTTTTATATAATGATTTCGTCCTGGCGCTTTGTAATTTTTTAAGTCTACTCATATTATTCACTAACGACATCATTGATATCTACAGATATGTCAGTGATTCTGTAACGTTTTTATAGCAACCCTCCATCATGAAAAAGATCAGCTAGCGTCACCTATTCATTTTCGACAAAGCGCCAGTACAATATTTATCACACTTTGTTCCTCATTTTACGCTGATTCTAAATATATATAAACTTTTATATTTGGACCAGTTGAAAAAAAATATACCCACAGTGCATTTAGAAATAACCAATTAAAAATAAGTGTCTTCGTTGTTTCATCAGTCAGTAGACTAAATCATATAGTAAAAGAAAAAGAAAAGACATGTCAAAATGAAGACTGACAATAATCATTCATTTTTACCAGTATGATCAAGTTCGGTTTATCTACAAAACTTTGTACCGTGACTTCGAAAATAATCAACCATGTTTAAATCAAACATAAATAATAGGACTTTTACTTCAAGAAAATTATTGATTAAAATATTTAAAGCAACAGTGTAATATAACTTCGGATCAATGTATACAGTTATTAGACAAGAGTTCAAGAAATTGATTTGGACGAAAAATTTTCTCTCACTTTTTAATATTTTCATTATTGTATGATTCGAAATTAAAAGTTAGGTCTTTATTTATATATCAGCTTATAGATCACAAGCTACCCTACAAAATGCACTGTTTAAAGTTTTCTTTTTGGATTTCAACAAGGTCCCTCAATTTTCATTTTTCTAAAATACCTATTTTTGATAAATCGACCACCGTTTAACGTTGAAAGGATCACTTGAAAAAACGATGCTTTTACTCTCATTTGAGCAAAAGTTACAGCTTAATTCAATATCAAATTTTATAGAAAAGTGCCTACTCTATAAAACAAACGATTCTGACAATTTTTAGCAGATTCGAATAAGAACTTATAAAGTAAACAAACATCTGTTGGCTCATCAATAAAAATAATTGTTCAACCTTTTCAAAAAGTACTTCACTACTCTTCAACAAAAGTAGACACAATATTTCGAAGCTCGTTTTAGAAAAAATAAGTATAAATTTTGGTCGCAACCTAGAGTTTTTAAATTTTCTGAAATGTTTTCAAGTAATGCAAAATGAACAAACATGTTCATCAAAAACCTTCACCAACAAGTTCTGTACAAACTAATTTTTTCGGCTTTTTAAAGATTATTTTACTACTCTCTAACAAAAACTGAGACAAATGGAGGGAGAGGACTCGTTAAACAATGAAATCGACTTCTTCTTGAAATTGAATTTCTTATAGATGTTAGAGATCGATTACTGGTTGAATTAGATTCGATATTAATTGATGTTTTATAAGGTGATGCAATCAGGTCCCGTGAAAGTTTGGGGAGGATGTAGGGGAGTGTACATCTTTCCAAAAATCTAAAACCATTCATTCGTCGCCAGCAAAATTGATATTTTTCTTAGTTTTTAAAGCATTTCGTTGAATTATTTACCAGAACATCTCCTTGGGGTATCTAGAGTAGAGACCCGTTCAGTCATGTTTTTTTCAACTCCGAATTTGTTTTGAAAGTTTTACTCAACTACGATTACGACTCCGAAGAAATCTAAAATTTTTCTTTCATATTTATTAGCGACAGCTTACGAGTACGCTTATTATATGCAATGCAAATTGATAGACATTCTGAATGTTAGACAGAAAACTAAAGCTGATTAATTTCAAACTTTTTTTGTCGATTAAACATTGACTTCTTCAAAAAGTATTGTTGCATAGAAAGAATTTCTGCATATCAAGAAGACACCAAAATAAAATGAAGTTTTGATCGAGTTTAATCATGTCAAAACATTCAAGTGAAACGGTCGTCGAAAAGTGCACGAAGATAATAGCAATACATATAATGACGAAAGTGGAGATAGTTAGAGACGCTGATCTTTTTCGCGATATTCATTTTTGAAAGTTCATCTAGTGTAGCTGGCTTTTTGCTTTTCTCTCTATATGATGTCGTTTGACTAGTAGACTAACATGTTTCCTGAACTATCAGTTACAATTTTCAAGAATAAAATTTACATGAGAAAAGAGTGTAGCAGGATTTTTGAAGCTCATTATAATTTGTATTATGTGGCAAGTTAAGGAAATTAGCTGGTTTATTACTCTATATTCAGCCTCAAACGATGGTTTTTGCTAGAAAATTCTGGAGCGATGTGAATTTTTTTCGCTTCAAGAAAATGTAATCACTTGAGAGTATACTCGATCTAAAACTACCTGTGACTTTTCTATTTTTTATGGAAATCTTACTACTGTCTTTCTTCTGAAGAGTTTCAGTTTTAAACCGCAGTCAGTAATCATTGATCACCGACATGGCCGTCTTCGACGCCGCAATCGGTGAGCACTATCGCAACACTTTTTCCTTTCGAATAACAGAAGGAAAAGGTGAATTTTCACGAGTCGAAAAAAGTTTTTGCTTCCCGCAAAATAACAATTGCATAGCCGCATTTCAATTAGAAAAATTTCCTACATTAATCAATTTTTCCTTTGAAAAAGCCTAATTATGAACAACCGTCACTAGTGTGGTCCCCTTCGACGACAAAAGTATTAAGAAACTTGCTTACATTAGACACGCGTTCCACTCTTCAAAATTTGCCATAGAAAGTTGAATTTCATAAGAAGTTTGCCAGAGAAAAATTAATATCAGATCTCATGCGAAAAAATTTTTTTGTTCTCTAACCTTCACTACTTCAGAGTCCTTCTCATGATGCATAATTCTGAGACACTCGCTCTGGGTCTGAATGCATTTCAGTATTTATTTGGAATGTTTCTTTCTCTTGTTCAGCTACTTTAATTTGATTAATGTATGGAATGAAAGCTCTTTCCTTCTTCTATCGAATGGCACATAGAAGTATGACAAAGTATTGTTCTTTCTCTTTTTCTTTGAGATAACACTTTTCATCTGTATGTACAATATGTTGACACTAATGCAAAAATTCCTCGCTATTGAACTGTGAAAGTAGTGATCGACTTTGAATTATATATCATTCAGTAGACTTTTCAACATTCTCCAAAATGATGCTATTCCGTTGAACTTAATTTGTGACCAAGATAGTATTCAACTGCAAAAATGATCATGAAAGTCAAAATTTGCATTTTTTTACTAATATTTAATGGGTTTTGAGCAGAAAAATCAGGCTTTTTATCAAAACAAATGATATATTTGGGATCAGAATAAAAAAAACTGAGTCGATCTATATATCTCATGAAATCTTCTGACAACTTTTATTTTCGTAGAAAACTCAAGCCGTGCCACTTTCTGGAGCTGCGTCAAAAAATATCGAAATTGAAAGCAGTAGTTTGACTGTGAAAAATCACTTCGAAGTTCTTTAAAACCTAGGAAAATCCTAAACCACAAATGAATAAATAATGATAATGATGTTTTGACTGACTTTATTTTTCGACGAAAATAAAAGTTGTCAGAAGATTTCATGAGACATATAGATCGACTCATTTTTTTTTTATTCTGATCTCAAATATATCATTTGTTTTGATTAAAAAGCCTGATCATTCTGCCTCAAACCCATCAGATCTTATTCAAAAAAAAAGAAAATTTTGACTTTCATGATTATTTTTGCGATTGAATACTATCTTGGCCACAAATTAAGTTCAACTGAATAGCATCATTTTGGAGAAAGTTGAAAAGTCTATCGAATAATATATAATTGAAATTAGATCAATTCTTTCCCAGTTCAACAGCGAGAGAATTTTATTATGAGTGTCAACATATTGTACATACAAGCGAGTAGTGTCATCTCAAAGAAAAATAGAAAGAAAAGTATTTTGTCATACTCCAACATGCCATTCAATAGACAAAACAAAGAGCTTTCATTTGACATATGATTCAAGTTGACAGAGTTGAGGGTGAGAGGAAAGCTCTTCATAGAAACAGTGCATACCAAAAAGCCATTAAGTATAGATAATTCAGAGTTTTGCGTCAATCTCATACAGCTAAAATGAGGTCTAACTATCTAATTCCAACGGCAATTAACTTCTTACATACAGATTGATCAGGGAGATGAGCTCATCGCTTAACGACTTATAGCTTTTTACCCTTTGACAATATTGTCTAATGGCTCAAAAGTGAACAAACATTTTGTCTAACAGCTTTCTGATCATTCGTTAAATAGAAAAAAGGTAATAGAGATTTATTTATTGTATCATCAAAATTAACGAAGCACGAGACGTTCTCGAGTATAAGCATTTAAATTATATGTTAATTAAAGTAGGAGTATCTCGTTTTATACATATCACGAAAATCTGCTGTTGATAACCATCTAATTAGGTTGAGTACAATTCTTTGTATCATCACGATCTTTGTATTTCTGAAAAGACAAATTAGATTGCTTATTTCAACAAAGTTCGGTTCAGATATTAGGTATTCAAACAAACAGATAAATTGTAAATT